CTCTCTTGCGGATCACTGTCCATTTTGTCTTGTATCTTTTGTCTCAGAAAGCCTAGCTTTGTGTGTTTTGTACAGTTTTTGTTTGTTTCATTTGGGAGAATAATCTGCCTGTTACATTTGTCTCAACCAGAGGTAGATATTCCTTCCTTAATTAATAGAGATATACCCAATAAAACTAGATGCATCATTTGATGATCAAATAAACATTATTTTAGAAAGTCACCTTATTTCTAAGTAGTATTATAATTGCTGTTATCTGTTATTAGCTGAAAATAATTGTACAATATGCCAAATTTATGAGTGCAGACTATAGATCAAGAATGACTTGTAGTTGTCTATATCTTTTCACAAAAGAATTTCAGATGGCTTCTTGACACCAAGGTATACTATACCTTGACACCAAGGTATAGTAAAATAGCAAAAAGATTAAAGGGAAAACTAAGTAAGGAAGTAATAATGGTAGCTATGATATTTTTTTGTCATTAAAAGTAAAATTAAGTTTGGGCAATCTGGCTGAGCAATATGCCTAGGCTTTTTAGCTTCCCTGTTTTCATTATCAAAATGAATAAGAGATCATTAGGATATTAATAGCTATTGAATGTCCACTATGTGTAGGCCAAAGAAAGGTCTAATACGTACCAACAAAATGGTTCAGTGAGGAAAGTTCTTGCTGAGAAAGCCTGGCAATCAATCACTTTAATTCCTGGAGCCCATGAAAGGTAGAAATCAAGTATTAACTTCATAAAGTTGTCCTCTGACACCCACATGCACATCATGGCATGTGTAGCCCCAAACACACACACACACACACACACACACACACACACACACACACACACACACACAAAAAAAAAAACTAGAAGTAGAAGAAATAATGTTCAAGCCTTATATGTGTGAGCAGAAGACATACTTCTATCATGTGGCTTCCTGAAATCAAACTCATCTTGTTAGGCTGGGCAACAAGCACCTTTACCTGCTGAACCATGTTTTGGTCCAATGGCTAATTTTTGTAATGGCTTTTGATGGATGTGACATTGAGCTACCTTTTATTTGCACATTTTTTAATTCATTAATTGTGTGTGTGTGTGTGTGTGTATGTGTATGTATGTATAAATACTGTTCCATTACTAGGGGCCCAATAGACTACCCCGGCCTCCTAACTGTCACCACATGCAGGGGGCCTGGTTCCATCCCATGCTGGTTCCTAAGCCGTCAGTCTGGGGTCCATTAGCTCCCCGTTGTTTAGGTCAGCTGTTTCTTTTCTTTTCTTTTTTTAATTTATTATTTTACATGCTGATCCCAGTTCCCCCTCCCTCCCTTTTACCCTCTCTGTCCTCTCCCATGCACCCTGACTACCCTCCCCTCCCATCCCCCATCCCAATTCCACATGTAGGGCAATGCCATCCAGGTGGGGTCATGTAGATCTGACAGGTCATTTGAAATAGGGACTAGGACTTCTCTCTTGTCTCTAGGTTAAGGCAGTATCCCTCCATGGGGGATGTGTCCACAAGGTCCTTTTGTGCACCAGGGATACCTCCTGGTTCCACTGTCTGAGGTCCCTTAGATTGCTCAGTCCTTCTGGCTGAGACACATATTCAGGGGGCCTGAGTCAGTCCCATGCTGGATTCCCAGCTATCAGTCTGGGGGCCCATTAGCTCCTCCTTGTTCAGGTCAGCTGTCTCTATGTGTTTCTGCAACCTGGTCTTGTCCTCTCCCCCTGCATTTGGATTCCAGTTCAACTCAGTGTTTAGGTATGGGTGTTTGCTTCTGTTTCCAAGAGGTACTAGATAAGGGCTCCATAGATAAGTTAGTTGTTGATCTCACTATCTGGGAAGGACATTTATGGTAGCCTTTCCAAGTATGTCTTGATTCACTTAACACAACGATTCTTGTTCCATTAGCTAAAACCAACAGGATTTTATTCTTCTTTAACCATCAAACCACTCCTGTGTGTGTGACATCCCATCTGTTGATCACTGCTCTTGTCTGCTCTTGTTGTTTGTTTCCTGCCTTTTTTGGTATTAAAGTCATGTGTCACCTCTCTCTGCCTGATCACTGTTGTCTTGTTTTGTTTGGTTGTTTGGTTTTTTGGTTGGCTGATTTTCAAGACAGGGTTTCTCCACGTAAGTGCTGGCTGTCCTGAACTCACAGAGATCAGCTTGATTCTGCCTCCTGAGTGCTAGGATTAAATGTGTGCACCAGCACTGTCCAGCTGACCACTGCTTTTGTGTGTGTGTCATTTAATATAAAGGGATTCTTTCTCCTGCCCTGTTCCACAGATGCTTGGATTTTTCTATGTCCACTAATTCAGGGGTGCCTTTCCCAGCCTCTGATGGCCCCTCCACACCCTGTTTATCATTACTTTTTCACCCACTCACCACATTCTACTCTCCTCTAGAGTGACATCCTTACTACTGACTCATTATATTTAATATTTTGACACCTCTATCATTTTTCAACCTAATAACACTGCCAGATCTACTGCTATTTGTGCTTGACATTTTGAGCTGTGAGACTATGAGAAGATAAAGGATGTCTATCTAGTTGTGACACTGGATTGCTACTTCCAGTTAGGAGATCATAGTGAGTGACTGTATTCATGGTGCATTGTATATATGTATAGAATTGGCCCAATGTAACATTTAAAAGGTAAAAAGAGGTATTAATAACTTAAAACACCCTTGATTGCCAAAACAGAGAAGTCAAGAATTATTTTATTAGCGTGTGTGAAAATGTTGACATTGAAAGCAATACAATACTATACTTTCAGTGAATTTGATTTGCTTACTTCCCAGATTTGCTTGGGCCCTTGTGCTCCTTAAAATGTAGTTACTCTGGGACCCTAGCTGCTGTTGAAGTCATTTCAGCTCCTAGTGCTGGTGCAGCCAGGCTTTGGGACTGGTTGATCATGTACACTGGGCTAGAGTAGGGGGAAATTTACTTTGTGACTTCCTTCCTGCCTCATCTTCCATATTCCCTCACTCTCACAGCCATGAGATTTTTTTTTCTTCTTTTCAGTGAGGTTCACACCAGAGACTTGTTGCATTCCTTTATTTGTTAAGGGAATCTGGGCTTTAAGCACACCATTTCCTTTCCGAACAAAAAGAAACCATAAACAAAGGCGGATGTGCTAAGAGCCACATCTGTGATGGATACTCAGTCTCTCAGGCTTACCTCTCCATCCTTCACATCAACCTGGATTTCTCCACACCTGAAGCCACCTGCCTGTCTCTGTGGAACAAGCCTGTCCTCCGTCCACCTGCGCCATTTGAAGTAGCTTCAAAGGTTAAGCTTTCTGCATTTCACAAGAGCATGGTCCACATAGAACTAAGCAGGACAGAAATATTCCAAGAATCTAGGAATTTCTTGTCTCCCTGCTACCTAAAGACTTATTTTTAAGGCACCAGCTAGCATTTTCCATATCTTAACATCTACAAGTAACTCCTGTGCACACCTCACCTCCTCAAAGTTCAAATCTTTTGAAGGCAGAAGGACAGAGTAGACACTGAGAAAGCATGAGCTGAACATTCAGGAAGCTATGGGCAAGGGTGGGCCAGAGTGAATGTCCCCAAGTCAGTACCAAGATGTGTTCCTTAAGTCACCATTTCTTGATTACTGATATTAAGTTTTAGGTAGTAATATGAGGCTTTCTAGCATGTCCAGAATGTTCACAGTTCTATGCAAGGTTATGCTCATGCAACTTTGCATTGAATCTTCAGGTCCTTGGTGGAAGGAAGTGATTATCTCAGGGACTCCTGAGGTCAAGTAACATGGAATAAAGATTCAGGGTCATCAGGCCACCGTAGGAGAAATTAGAGGAGCATCCTTTCATTCAGAGAAAATGTTTTAGCAACTGCTCTATGAGGACCACATTGGAGTAGTGGTTCTCGACCTTCCTAATGCTTCGACCGTTCAATACAGTTCCTCATATTGTGGTGACTCCCAATCATAAAATTATTTTCATTGCTACTCCATAACTGTAATTTTGATACTGTTATGAATTGTAATGCAAATATCTGATATGCAGGATATAAAATATGTAGATATGAAGGGGTCATGACCCATAGGTTGAGAACCACTGCCTTTGAGAGTTTGGAAGGCTGGGAGATGATTCTATTGCTAAAGTGTTTGTTGTGCAAGCATGAGGAGCCGAGTTGCACACTCAGATCTTGCATATTCAAATATGGGCACAGTGATATGATTCCCAGCTGGGAAGGTAAGGGTAGCCAAGACTTGAGGCTCCCCACTACCTAGTCTCAGTTACTTAGAGAAAACTCCAAATCCATGAAACAAAGGCAAGGTAGACAGAGCCTAAGCAATGACACCTGGAATTATCCTCTGTCTTCCACATGCATATGTATACATCTGCACACGTGTTTGTGAACACACAAGCACACATGTGTAGAATATAGGGATAACAGCTATTCTTATTCATGAGATCATGTAAAAGCTATTCTTTCTCCCAGGTTTCTAATGTACAGTGTCAGTTTACTTACATGTCCCTGTATTTCACACCATCCAGCTAATTTCTAGGTATTTTACGGAGTCATTATAGTAGGTGAGTGAAAGCAGGCACCAGAAAAGGACATTGAAAACTACTGCTGGAGGTGTCAACAATCGACACTTTGAATTGAATGAGAACCTTGGCTGTGAATTTCACCATGCTCCTGTAAAGATGCTTCATCTGTTTCCTTTGGGGGAAGACTATAGAGGCACTGAATATGAATGAATATATATATATATATATATATATATATATATATCAGAACCTGGTGGTAACCTCCTGTTTTTCTTTTGACATCTTTGAGGGAAAGTATCCCTGGTGATATATGATTTTTCAAGGCTAATTTGCCTTTTTGTCTAATGCAATGTCCTTTCTTACAAATTAGCCTCCTCTGCCCTCCCTCTCCTGCACTGGGGAGGATCCTTCAAAATTCCTAACAGGCAGCCCTATGGAGAGATGGGAGGGAAGGGGAAGGGAGGGAGGAAGAGAGGGAGGAAGGGAGAGAGAGAGGTAGAGGGTGTCTGGCTGCGTACATGTGGTACAGGCAGGGGGATCAGAACGCTTACAGAACAGGCAGCATAATTCCATGCTCTTCCTAAGTGTCAGCCCTGCCGGGAGCTGTGCCTGCAGCCTACTTGGAGAGGAAAAGTAGAAGGTGGAGGGGGGTCAGCTCCTAAGTGAGTGGGTCCTCACTTAGCATGAGGGCATCTGCTGATCTCCAGTGACTGTCTGGCTCCTCCTGGTCAGATTTGGCCCTCTCTCTCCTAGATACTTGCTTTAGAAGAGGAGACACACCTTTCTGCAGCAGGGAGACGGAACTGACCAGATTGCAAACCGGTAGGTTGTGACATTCAGCATGTTTATGCAGCAGAATTTGCTGAGAAATGCAGGGAGGCGGGGTGTTGGTCGGGCTGGCTGATTTATCTGCAATGGGGAATGTTTTATTTTAATTGTCGATTCAAAGCAGAATTGTTGCCTAGGCTAAGGTGGCAGTAGAATTGCTGTTTCCCAGGCTCCCGTTTTGCATCTGTGTTTGATGCGGTTTCTGCATGCAGCTTAGAGAAGCTAGGGAGAGCTCACCTTTAAATAACCTGCAGCTTGCTATGCGTCTTCTGCTCCATATGTATTTTTTTTTTTTTTTTTTTTTTTTTTTTTGCTCTTCCTAAGCACAGTTCCCACCCTGTCTTCCCAACATCCCCCTGCCCTCCTCCCCACCCCATGGGGAAATGTGGCCTAGCTTCACCTGGATCCCTTGGCTCCCTAAGACTGTATGTCTGGCTGCTTTGCTGTAGGTGCTGGTAGATGATCTGCAGCTGCCCTGGGCCCAGGCAGACTGATTCAGCAGAAGCATCTGTGCATGGGAGTCGCAATCAGGGGCCATGGCAGTGCAGCTGGTGCCGGACTCCGCTCTCAGCCTGCTGATGGTGAGTGTGCCGGGGAGGAGGTGGGCCCCTGGCAGTGCCCACTCCAGCCTTCCCCTGCCTCAGGGATTGCTGCTAACTGCTGTGGCTGCTGCCATGGCTGCAGACAGGGAAAGCACGGTTCAGCTTCATCCAGCAGACTCCTGTGAAAGGATTTCTTGGGTCAGAGGATTAGCGTGACTAAGCACTCTCAGGGAAAAGCCAAAGTAGATTTGCCATTTTAGAAACTTGTTGCTGAATGCTATTTTGAGAGACTTACAAACAGGTGCTAAGGGTGGCTCTGAGTAGTTCTCAAGATGCCTCCCCTCCGTGCTCAGCATCCTTCGCTCAGGGTCTTTTGAATCTAAATTTAGAGTTGTGCTTGTTTGTATGTTTGATTTCCTTCCATGGCAGCTGCGAGATTTATAAAGAAAAATTAATTTTTTGTCTCCAGACTGATGGGAGAAGGTTATCTTCCCAAGTTCCTCCAGAGTCTCCAGGGAGCCTCAGAGTGGCCCCTGTGACAGCTCAGCTGCCCAGTTAGTGGTCACTCCTCTCCTATCTACAGTTGGCCAGGAGACATTGGCATTTACATGTGTGTGAACTGCTGACCTACTTTAGACCCCTGTGATTTTTATGACGTTAAGAAAGCCGTTGCTCTTCGTGCTTTGAAGCAGGCAAGGGCAGCAGCAGCACCCTGTAACCCAGTTGGCTTTTGGCTTGATCTGGGTTCAGTTTGCTCCTCTGTCTTGGTGCCCCCTCCCGCCTCCTCTACTGCCCAGTAGTTCACAGGCCTTGGCAGTGCTGCCCCTGGAAGAAGGCTGCGTCAGCTTGGGGTGGGAATGAACCTAACATTTACTCTGGAGAGTTTATGAGCAGAGCCTAAGTGCATCTGCTGTGTATTGATCTGTGTTTTCTGACTGAGATAGGAAAGTGCAGCTTGCCGAGGGCTGATGAGTTTATTAAGGTGACTTGAGGAGTGGCTAGAGGGAGCTTGCCTCCTGAGTGGAGAGCCACATCAAATTCAGAGGGACATACTTCCTCGTGATTCATTAGCCAAAAATTAAAAGAAAAAATGGCATTTGGTCCACAGTGTCACCTGAATTGCTGGAAATTACATGGGCCTCTCTGACTGCCAGTCTACCAGGAAGGAGGAATTAGAAGTGTGAAAAGGGATTGCTATAGCTATTACTCTTTCCACGGCTTCTCTACTTACTAATTCTAGCATGATACTACTACATATTTCATTGTCTATTGTAGTTCAAATAAATGTATGGTCAAAAGTTCTGAGCGTTTGTGACCGTTGCTAACACTATACTCCAGTATTTGTGAGAAGCAGGATTTTGTGAGGGGCCATGAAATCACAGCATATACACATGTGTTGTCTGATGTTGCTTAGTAGATAGAAGTTCTGCAGTATGCTCATAGAGAGAAAGTTTGTCAGTCCTGCCTCTTTCTGCCACACTGAACGCTTGTTGATGCTTAGATATATGTCTGTTTTACTGCAAGGCCCCAAGGAGAAGTCCTTGGTACTCAAGCAAAATGAGGCTACGCATCATTCCCCAATGGGCTGTTCCTGCCACACACAACCACTTGGGCTTCTAATATTAATATTGTCTTGGCTATCTCTTCAGTTCAGAGTTTCTCCTCTACTTTTCGGTCCCTTTTGCCTAAGATCTCTAGCTAGCACTCACCTCCTTCCTGGATTAAAGGATTGTGATGTCTTTTCTCTGGGAAGCTAGGAAAATAGCTCTTGATACTGTGATGGACCCTTAGATTACATCCTCCGGGACTGGAGTGCTGCATGTAGTCAGAGTCACTGAACATTTTCTGGGTTGGGTTTGGTTCAGGGCAAATTTCCCCCGTGGACTTCTGTGCTTTTTGCCTTTTTAAAGGGGAAGTTCCAAAGTAATTGCTTCCTTGATATGTTTCGTGATGATTCTCAAAAATTGTAAGCAAGTGAGAGGGAAAAGAAATGGGATGAAGAGGCCATTTAGTGAAGCTGCCTTGGGCTGTGAGTTCAGGGAGGAACTGTATCCGTTATTATGTATTTGCTCATTAATCAACCAATCAGCTTTCAGTATTTATCAAGCTCTGCTCACTGGGTAGAGTAGCATGGTATAATAGCAAAAGCCAGAGCTCATGAAAGCACTGTTTCAGGGCAGTCAATACTGTGTGGGTTGAATGTAGTTGTGGTTTACAGCTATGGAGTCCTTGGGCTGCAGGAATTACAGTCAGTAACTGAAATGTTTCATTGGTTCTGGAAGCAGCAGAGTCTGGAGAGTTAAAGAGTCCAGCATTCTGTCTCCAGCTTTGCCACTTACTGGTAATGTTCAGTATGTCACTTCCTTTCTGTGTGTCCTGGTTATGTCATCTGCTGACTGAGAGCGTGTGATCTCTTGGGGCACTTTCACTCTGTTGGGCAAAATGTAAAGTCTGTAAATACGCTGTCCAGGATGGAGCTAGCCTGGGTACTTTATTCATTATTGCCACTTTTTTTTTTCCCCAACCAAGCACATAAACTGCATTGCTTTTGAAAAGGGGGGATTTGTTCCCACTCATATTGCTTTTTTTTTTCCCCAGAGACAGTATGTTTCAGATCAGCTGGTTGTTCACACTCTGCTGTGTAAGAGCCCAACCCCACAGAGGTCTGCTTTACTCCCCTGAACAAAACCCACTGACTTTAGGACAGTGCCTAAGGTACCTTTCCCAGTTGGATGTGGGCTCCCATTTGAGAGAGCTCCAGCATTTTGTGCTTGCCCTGTGGGAGGTCTATACTGGTTCTTTCAATAGAGAGTAGGAAGTGATAGATGGCTGTGAAAATTGTAGCAACCCAAATAAAGCAGGAAGGAAGGATGGAGTCAAAGAGCAGATAGATGGCTCTAGTGGAGAAGATGACCTCAGGTGCATCACAGGCTCACCTCCCCATCAATGTAGAAATGCCAGGAATAAAAGGAGGCAGTGTTTTCGTTCCCCATACTGCTGCATAGGACTAATTGTAAAATAGGCTATTTGTCATTTGTTGAGGTCACATGAGTTCAGGAAAGCTGCAAAGGCTGGAGCATGCTGGCCTCCAGGGATTTGTTATTGATTGACTAATTGATTGATGTATGTTGAGATGGGGTCTTGGTATGTTACTCAAGCTTTCCTGAAACACTTGATCCTTTTGCCTCTACTTCTTGGGTGTTAGGCTTCCAAGCATGTGACACCACACCTGCCTTGGAGATCACTCATTTTGTTCATTCAGAATATAGATATATGACTAAGAGGCTACCAAGGTATGCCATTTTGTTCCTTAGAATATGACAGCTCAAATATTTGTGATAAGAAGATTAAAATACTTTAAAAACTTTTTTATTACATTTTCTTATTTGTGGGTGTGTTTCTGTCTGTTTGTCTACATGTATGTGGAAACTGGAGGACAAATTTTAATAATCAGTTCTGTGAGTCCTGGGGAATAAACTGAGGTCATGAGGCTTGGAGGCAAGATTATTTACATTCTGAACCATCTTCCAGCCCTATATTAGTTTTTAGATGAATAGGCTAAGAAATAAATAATGATAACTACACTTTGCTATAATAAACAAATATCTTTGCATATATTACATAATTTCTTTCAAGACATTTTTTTTTCCAGGTAAAAACCACCTGGTAACCAGACATTGAAAAACCTGTCAATGTTCACACACTTGAAATTGACAGCCCGGGGTCTCAAAATCAAGGTTCTCTGCTATAGTAGGCAAGCTAAGAATTTGATACCCCGGATCTTCTAACACTTTAGATGAATGTCTAATTGACCTAGACTCAGCCATCTTTACTTCCCTCTAGTCAGATAGTCTTGTCCTCTTGTTTAATATTTATTATTTTCTATGTTAATATACAAGATAAAAAAAAGATTCCTTTGCAAGCTTAAAAGCTGCGGCAAGATGCCTGTGTTAACACTAATAGGAAGTCCAACATTTATATCCACAAGAGCCTTATCAATGTTCCATTTCTTGAATTGTATTTTTTAAGGATTTCCAAGGTCATATTTAACAGTAGAGAGATTTAATATGTGAAAAACTCAGTCAGAAATTATTGAGTGATTCTTTGTAAAGAATGAAGGAAATGAGTTAGATGAGTACTTTCAGATGTCTGGGCTTCTTTGGGAAAATACTGGCTCCCTCAAATTCTTTTTTTTTTTCTCTGCCATTTTTCTAAGTTAGTATCTCCCTTTTTATTAGTTGCTGAGTACATATTCCATATAAGAAACATGGAATCCAGTTATTGGCTTTAACAAACTTACAACTAAGTTGAAGAGGCAAGATCCCTGGGAATAAGAAGGCAACTTCTCTAAATGAGAAATATGTAAGACAACTTTAGAGAATCACACTAGATGAGCTCTCACAGAAGACATCATTAAGTGAGCCTAGGATAAAAGGCCTGGATTAAGGCATTATGATACACCCAGAGTGAAGATATAGGTTCCAGGAACTTAGATAAAAATGCTAAAATATGGAGGGGCCAAGAGAGGGAATTTGAGGTGGAGATAGTGAGTGGATCTTAATGGAATCTGGATTGTTTTGGTGCCTGAAGAACAGACTGCCTTGAATGGATTTCTTTGGGGGAAGAAAGGGTTGTGAGATCAGGAGGTCAGGTGGGGTGTTCTGGGAAGACTCACAGCCTTAGTTCTATTACATGGTACCTGGCCTCCCTCTACCTCTACCTGTGACAGGTTTATTTGGGGTTTATGAGGAACTTTCCCCACATCCCAAATGGCAAAACATGAGTAGAAACTGAGTTCTGTCCCAAGAAATCTTGCTTTTGCGTTACTAAGTTTTAAAGTTTTCTATAGTGCTTTTGTGTCTGAAGTTTTACTAAATGTTCTCTGCAATACAGGAAAGTCAGTATCTTCTTGTGATGTGATGAAGCTAAGGTCTAGAGAAGATAAATGGCTTGCCCAATGTAGCTCAGATAGCTTGTGGTGGTGCTGAATTACTACCCCCATTCAATAACAGTTGTTAGAAACTTGAAGAAGCAATATT